CCTTGACATTTTCCAGCGCTGCATATTTATGTGATTTATGCCAAATTTCTGGACCTTCGAACCCGATTTGGCCCGGTTTTTGGGCTTACGTGTTCTGGCCAGGGGCGACATTTGGCTAAGGCTTCGCAAGAAAGGAAAACAAAGGCGGCGGCGGAAAAGAGAAATGCGGAAAATTAGGTCTGCTTTTCTGCCACCTTCGGATCCCTCGGAACCTTCGGAACCTTCGGAAAATACCTGGAGCTGGTTGCCCATGTACCTGGATACATATTTATGTAGGCTTTGTGGGGCGCCTACTCGATTATTGGCCCTGATGCCCTGTTATACATTCGAAGGGCCAGACACATTTTTACCCTCCTCACTTTCCTTTTTGGGCGTGTTCAGTGCAAAGTCCTGCTTTGAAGGGGACCTACATTATGTGTTGCCTTTTAAATGTTTATGCCAATATTTACATTTCCGAGGCTCGGCCCAATGATAAAATATTCGACTTTAACACGAATACAAATGGCAAGAAACACGTCTCAGCTGGAAAAGCGGGCAATCGTGATAAGCACGCACTTCATCGATGGCGCTAATGGTGGCTTATTTATTTTCCTTCCTGGCCCAGAAAAGGGCCCAAAAGGGGCCTAACATTTTAATTGAAAATGTTCGGGACGCCTGCTTCAAGTTCTGTAGCTTTTTTTGAATGCAGCACAGATTTCTAAGGATTGATTGACTTATTGCACTTACACTGTTTAGCTGAGTTGTGGCTGATTTGAATGCTGCTCACCCATGCCTTGCAAGCCATTCGTATCAATTAGGCCACTAATTAGCCCTAATTAACTTGCCAGCTGTCAATTAGGCCGGGCCCAAACAATTGCCACATCCCACCGCAATGCAAGTCTCCTAAGATGCCTCAAGCGATGCGGCACTCGGCAAACGGACTTTTTGCATTGCGGAAAATCGGCTTAGATGCGCTCAGCAACCTTAAGATGTTTTCCCATCCGCGGCGCTCTTTTTCCATTAATTAATTTACTGGCTTTGCGCAATCTCCTCCGGCTGCATAAATATTTGACTTGCCGGCAGCAGCAGCAGCTCCAGATTTATTTCCCTCGAATTGAAATGAATGGCTGTCAGTCAGTCAGCCAGCTGGTCGGTTCGCCTGTCTGCATACTAAGTACAATTAGAGCGGGTTTCATCAGCATCCTTGCCGTTCGGCATGGCGTAAAAATAAGCTGTCTTTGCATTAAGGAATAAGAACAACAAAGTCGCGGTCCGCCGGGAAATGCGGCACTAAGCTTTTCCGCTTTCCCCGCCGTCTTGGAGCAAGTTTTGAGTAATGAAACCGCTCCGCGAAAGTTTCCGCACTGTAAATCTGTTGGATTAATTATTACAACTCGCAATTGTTTACAGCGAATCTGCAGCGCTTTGACTTTTTGCTTCTGCTTTGATGTCCTTTTCCCGCCTTCCCCCTGTTTTCCTTCTACCCGGCTGCTTTTCCAGGGATGTCCTTATCTAAACGACATGTGTATACGCATTTTGCAGCCCCATTTGGCAGGACTTTGGGACTCAACGAGGCTCAGAAATCGACTGCCAAAGATGGCGAGCAATTGGTTCGCAGCTGGGTCGTCAGCTAAAAACCCAAATAAACTGCAGTGTCAGTGTGGCACAAGTTGCGAGCTGGGGAAGTTTTTTAATTAAAATCTAATGTGGCAAGAGTGTGGCGATGGGAGATACGAGGACACCCTCAAATGCTCGCCCGCACACCAACTAAATTACGCCTAATTGCGAGTGTTTAATTATGCACTAGTTTAATTTTATGGTCTTGTGGCTGGGGCCCGGAAATATATGAAGACATTCGGGCAGTCCATGTGCTCCACAGGATGTGCACTCTGCCGACGAGTCCTTCCCCTAATCTGCGTGTGTTTGCTGATAATTCCAGCTTGGCTTACGCAAGCGTAGCCAAAGTAGCAAATAATTGCTTGCTCGTCTAGTTGGTCGGGTTGATGGACTGGTGGGCACACAGAAAGAAATACATGTCAGCGCTCGGCCCCTTTAATTAAATATGAGGAGCTCTTTAGTCTCGAGCAATATATTAGCAATCCTGGGCATTCCTGGCAATGCGCAGGGATCTGGTTGCTCCGAGTGTACTTCTAATACCACGCAAATGGTTTTCGGGGCATAAAAGAAATTTACTTGTGCTTGGGGCGCTGGAGAAAGAGGAGCCTGCTGTATGTAAGTACTTGGAAATTCCTGCGCCTCAGCACAAAAGGAAAATTGCTAAAAGTTTATTTTCCCTCCTTTCTGGCTGTTTTGTTGTCGGTCTGCCCAAAGGGGTGTGGCAATTTGCGGTTGCAAACTTATAATGTGTGCAAATTGGTCTATGAAAAAATCATGTGTGAAAATTCCAGAGGCGAAGACGGGCGGGAAAAGAAAACTTGGAAATGCTATTGCCTACTTTTACGGGTTGCTCGAGTGTCCATATCCCCCGGCATCGTAACGACCTTTTGCGGCTTTCCGTCTGCCGGCATTCAGACTTCAATTAGCCCCGGAAAATAGATGGCCCAAACAAAGGGACGCAGTGAAAGAAAGCAGAGCTGGCCAAAGAAAACCTTTTGCCATCGACACCTTCTGCAAATTGAACGCTCATTATTCAGACAAAGGGAGACTACGGCGATTGAAGGACGGCCTGGAAACAATTTAAAATTAATTGGTTTCAATGTCTGTCCTGAATGTGGTTGTTGATCATGGTAGATGAAAAGCCGGCCTACAAATTGGCCAGCTCATCTTTGCCTTCCTTCTGTGTGGTTTTTCGGAAAATGAAATCATTTGAAAGTGTTTGCGCCCCAACTGCGAACTCTGGAGCCCATGCAAACAATAAAGCAGAAAAGGGTTCAACTTTCCTCTGCAATAAACTCCCTTTTTTCACCAGTTTGCCTAACCATCAAAAGGTTGAGATGCCTGTAAAAATGCGGGGTGGGCGTGGAAAGGCGGCCTAATTAAATGAAAATTCATGGCGTATGCTCCGATGAAACTTTTCCATGTTGTTTTCCAACTGCCTCTCGCTACTCTGAAAAGTATCCCGAAATTACGGCCAACAATACTTTGAATATTTTTGCAACAAGGCGACACGGTGGGTGTGTCTGTGTCTGTGTGTGTGTGTGAGTGTGTGGGTTTGTAACGCACAGCGCACAACCTTGTTTTGTTAATAAGATACAATGTTGTTCAAGCGTGTCTGATAGTCTTACGAAAAATACTCTTTGGTATGCGGTTTGGCTTACATAACATTGTGGAGATCAATTTGACCCTATTCTGTTACTAAATATCTCACATTTAGCTACTTTCTGTGTGATATTGGTAATATATACTTCACTTTCCAGATATTTCACTTTTCCTATGAAAATTAGAAAGCAGCCCGCTACATTTTGCATTGGGACATGTAAAATTCCGAGCTCATTTAAGCAGGACGATTACTCGATGTGTTATCCTTACAAACCCAATTAATTTAAGAAGCTTCAGAGGGCATCGCAAGTTCGGTGTCCCGTCAGGTTTTTTGCCCGTTGTTTTTATGCTTCTTGAAAGGCGTTTTGTTGCCTGGCAGCCAACGCAGACTGAGCTGCGTGTGTGGTTTGGCAATTATTTGAGTAGTACTACAAGATACACACACCCGCTCGCGCCGAGCAGAAAAACACACAGGCACGCAGATGTACATAATTACTTTGTATACATTTGCATGGCAACTGGCGAGGCGCAAGAGGGGGTCGGGGGAGGAGGGGTCCTGGCAGGAACAATCAGTGCACAACATTGTAATGCGAATACGTATACGCAGTGTGGGCCGCTGCGAGGGAGGCTCAGTTTAGAGCCCTGCTCAGTGCCGCTTTCCGTGTAATATGCTGCCATGTTATGTCGTAAATGTCGCTTTTTATTATTTTACATGCATTCTTGTGTTCGCCAGGACTTCTCGCCCAGCTTCCTGGCTGCCTTTGTTTTATTTACATTTCAACACGCGCTGGCAGGATGTCGTTCCTCTCTGTCACAGACAGACTTGGCGGATGTCAGTCGGGGCCAGAAGCGGAGCACATCTAATTCTCTGTGTAATGACAGCCAGTCTGGAATGTCTGGCAGCCGGGCCAGAAATATTTAATGCCGTTGATTTTTCTAATTAAATGTCTGCCAACGAGTTGGCAACTGATTAAAGGTGCTTGTATACTCGCCACGGTTCCCTGCACACATTTGGGCCACCAGGCGTATGCGTAATGCATTGTAATTTTTCCTGAAACTCTCAGGCGGTTCCTTGGCTTTTATTGCCCACTCTAAGCTGATTTATTTGCGCTCTAATGAAATTTGTTTCGTGTGCAACGGGCCCGAAAGAAAAGACCGGAAAAGCTCACGCTTCAGTTCGTTTTTTGAGAGTTTTCCTAGCCAATGCCAATGCCGCACCCTGTGCCTTAAAATGTTCTACGCACTTGAAAAAGTGTTTGCAAACATGTTGTACTCAAAAGTTGCCGAGAGAAATAAATGCGAGTATCTATAAGTTAAGTAAGGTTAAAATTAAGTTAAGTAATGTTAAGTAAGTTTAAATTGGAACGATAAAGGCGTTGTATCTAAGTGCTTAAGGCATTTCTTGTGTAGATCTTGGAATCAGTTACGGTAACCAGAGGATTGTCAATGGGAAAGTTAGCACTAGAACTTCCTTGTTTCTGATTTTCCACGCATGACCAATATCAATTTACTAAATCGAAAACTAACTGGCCAGTTTCAGCCGCAGGAGCTAAATAAAATTTGCATGTCATTAAACAAAGCTCAGGCATGAAATCAAAAACAAAAAAGCAACCGAACTTCATTGAAATGGCAACCGAAGTGCAAACGTAATTAATTAAAATCCAATTGCCAGCCTGCCATGACCACAGCTATAAAATCCATCAGGATCAACAAATTCACAGCTAATAAAAGGCTATTTGCCGATTTGCGATTTACGATTTCCATTTGTTGATTAGTTAAAAATAACGTGAGCGAAAACTTACCGCAATATTGTGTTTAGTTTTGGGCCCAGTTCGGTGGGTGTGAAGGCTGGTTTTGCGGAAGTTATGGCTCTGTCTGTGGCGTTTTAATTAAATTGATAGCGAGTGTGTGTGGGGAACGTGCCGCAAATTAAACACGCGACTCACTGAGACGAGACTTTTTAATTGACACACATCCACAGCCACAGCCACGGCACTCGAGTGGGAGAGGAGGTGATGGGCTAAGGATCGGTTCAGTCACCTTACAGTCTGCCAGCTTTACTCGGCCGAACACTACGCGACATGACGTTAGGCCGTGGGACGGAGACTGAACGCGACGCGTCTACTTCTGTTGCCGTGGTGTGAGTGTTGCAGGTTGCAGATGCAGCAGCCGCAGCAGCAGCAGCGGCGGCCGCAGTAGTAGTTGGAGGAGGCGCAGTCCAAACGTCCAAACGGAGCTCAGTAGACCAGGCCACCTACAACACGCAACGACGACTGAACGAGCGATGGCCCAAGGACCAACAGCACAGCCCCAAAAGCACTGGAGTCCTTCGCCGCAGCAGCAGCAGCAGCAGCAGCAGCAGCAACGCAGCAGCAGCGGAGCCGCAGCAGCGGCGGCAGCAGCACAGCAGCAGCATTAGGCGAAATCTCGGCTAAGCGGGCGCGAGAGAGAGAGCGAGCGGCACGGGCAGCGGCAGAGAGAGAGCGCCGCCACGAGGCGGGCATTTTCCGCTTTTCCGCTTTCCACGAGGCGTGCAATTTGCGTCGCGCATCGGCATTTTCCGACGTTGCACGCTGCAAGTTGCTCGTGCGTTGCAACATTTCGCTGAGGAATGTGGGCGCTCTCCTTCGCGAGAGCGAAGCGGAACGGATGGAATCGAAACAACCAGTGCTGTAATGCGATGTAAAGGAATTTCGGTGCGCTACGGGCATTCCGAATGTGCGGAATGTCCTTACATTTCCATGTAAGCATTTTAAATCAAAGGCACATCCACGAAACCAGTGTAGTTATGCCTGTCCACAAAAGCTTGTTTTGGTACTTATTTGCTTAGAACCAAGGTTCAGTTTCGGAGTTTAAGGACCTTTCCCTCAGCGGAACAGTGGGCGCAGCTCTGTAAGGACTTAACAGCAGCTGGGCAGCAGCATCACCGAAGCGGAAGTGAAACAGTTTCTGCCGCTCTCTCGCGTTGCTCTCCGTTGCCTTCCCGAGGCTCTCCCGATACTGCGCCTGCGTCGCCAGGACGAAGCCGAGTGGCAGCCGAATGGCGATGCTGTCCTTCGGAATTCCGCTCGTGGCCACTTGGAGTCCACGAGTTCCTGGCCACGAACAAAGCGCAACTTGCTCCACATATTGTAGCCCTACTTACACACATACGCCATTTGCGACCGCACTCACTCACACTCACACACGCCAGCACACACACACGCACGCCAGGATTACAGCGCTGCTTTTGGCCATTAGCCGATGCTGCGCTGCCGGGTCGCAGTCGCTGCGCAGGATGGGCTTTGTTGTTGCCTAGAACGGCGCTGCTGCGCCGCAGCTGCGATGCCGCTGGCTGTTATCAGCAAACATTGGCGCAGCTGATAACAGCAAAAGTGGCAAGCGAGTCGCATTAAAAGCAACAACGACCCAATTCCTTTGCCGCCACCGTCGGTCCTGCTGATAATGACGGGGATAATGATGATCCCGGCGCTAGTCATTGGCCCCACTTGCCAATTCCCAGGGGTCAAGTCGGGTGGCAGGTATTTTGATTGGTTTTCCACCACGGTAAACTAGTTTGGTGCACGGTAAGAAGCTGCTCAGGACACGGACACATAGTTAAGATTTAGAATGTTGTAGGTAATGTATTGAAAAACTTTGCCGACTACATACACACCAAATTATTTCGCTCAGTGGACCAAACTGTGTGCCTGCGAATAAAAGCTTTTTAAACAACTCTCCAAACACGAAAACGATTTAAATGAACATCGGCCAGGCAACAAAAAAGAAATCATTCCACTTTGGGGCCCTGGCATTTTAATTCTCATGCTTAACTTTGAACATTTTCCACCTTGGCTGCCCCGCACCCCGAACTTAATTAAATGTTGTTGGAAAACGCTTTTCATTTTGGCTGCATAAATTACAAAGCAAAAGTGCCACTCGCAACTTCGAGGAGGAGGCCAAATCATTCCCGCCTCCCCAAAAAGCCGGAGGCGTTGACTAGTGGCTAAATTATGGGGTGTGGCTGTGGCCCAGCTTATGCAAAATAAAATAAGTGTTTTGGCTGTTCGGAGACTCCTTCGGGCCATTAAAAAGTGTTTCAAATTACTGCAGATGCTTGGCTGGGAGAACGCTGTGTTCGAATCCTTGGGAATGTTTTGTTTAATAAGAAGTCCAGTACTTTCTTTCCTAAGTGTAAGCAAATGTACACTAATAAGCATTGGGGCATTGGGACCCCCGAAGACTTCACATGAGGCCCACAAATTGATGTGTGCCTAAAAGGGGCAGAGGCGAGGACAGGACACTTCTCTCGCCACAGGACACCGGGCAAACTGCAGTGGGAATGTCCTGCAGCGCGAGCACAGCCCCAAAAGAGAACACTCCACTCCGACTTGTCATTTGTTTCTTATTGTAATTTATGTGCAGGCAGCGATTTATGATTACATTGTGATTTATAACGAATAAAGGCTTCAGCTGCTGCCGCTCAAAATATCCAAGGGTTGAGCAGCGGGAGGCTCGCAGGACTCTGCCAACTCTCACCTAATGTCACACGGCTGGTAAAAGTTTTGTGCAAGTTGTCAAAGTTTTTCAGCAGTTTTTCAGCTGCTTGTTTCAGCTGCTTTTCACCGGCAAAGTTTTCCCTCGATATTGTTGCAAGTACCACGCAAAAAATGGCATACAATCTGTCAATGTTAAGCAGGAATGGCAAAGAGGCAGCCGAGCCAGTCAAGAAAATCAATTGGAAATTGGCCATCGAGTTTTTGGGTGGTGCGCCTGTCTCAGGTGTTTATGGAAACTTTTATATTACAAGGCCCCGAAAGGATTTTCTTCAATCCCAGAAAACTGACCCCAAAATGCGCGTTTATTTTCATTTAATAGGGATTTTTTTTGCCATATTCTATACTTTTACCAGCAGTAGCTGAATTTATTTTTGTGAAAGTTGAGTCATCGGCCTTAGTTTGTAAAAAATAAGTATACATTTTGAGCCTAAATATTTGATAAAATTAAGAGCGCAGTAAAATGTTTTGCTCGCTCTACAATCGACAATTACATTCCATTAGGTGGAAGCCGGCCGGAAGCTTCTCCGAATTTACGCTCATACATTTTTCATGTACTTGGCATCATTTTCGAGTGACCCGAGTGACAGGAACGCGTGTTGCCCCGTGTTGCGGCTGTTCCGCCTGAAATGTCAAACAAACACCGCTCAAATTAGCCGCACCACCCGGCGGGTGGTTGGTGGGTGGGTGGCTGAGTGAGTGTTTGTAGTCCGTAATGCGCGTGAATTGTTTAACTTTATTTTGACAGCTTTTGGCCTCGGACACCAGGACTTGTCACACGAACACAGGACGAAGGAAGCTGACGAGGCTTCACTTTTTCCAATGTCTTTGAAGACCTTTGAAAAGTTTTGAAATGAAGCATCCTTGTTGATGGTTTCGTTTTGAAGAGCTTTATGCATATCGATTTTGGGGTCTTTAATATTAAAATCAATTAAAATCAACTGCCTGGCCTAAATATTTGGTTCACCTGTTTGCTCTTTTATGCATTTGTTTCAACGGTGTGTAATCTTTTATTTGAGTGGAATAAATGCTGCACGTACACAGTAAATATTGTCAAAAATTGTAAGCGGATTACGCCAGTTAAATATTCTGCGGGAGTATTATAAAACCTGTCATTTGTTTTAAGATCGGATAATCTTCGCCCTGCTGGTTGTTTTCGGCTACCAGCAGTGAAATGTTGTACATTTCAGTGGTAAAAATACAACCTAAATCGTGGCTCAAATCGGGTGCCACCTACCTGCTCACAAAAATCATAATTAATTTAGCTTGAAAACTGCCACCCAACATCAACTTGAGCCTAATTTGGACACTCTGCCCTCCGTGAGCTGGCAGGAAAGTGCTTGGTAATTACTTTTGGCATGGCAGCGGTGAAATCGCTAGAAAATCACACAATTCAGGCAAAGGAAATTAACTCATTTCCACATAAATTAGTTCCGATTTCCGGCGCCCTCCTGCGAAATATTATGCGTCGATTATGATTAACGATCATTGGCGTTGCGGGGCCAGGACTTTCATAAATAACTTACAGGACTCGTTTGCCTGGGAATGAGTGAGCACAAATCGGCCACGCCTCCTTCCTCAGGACACAAAATTTAGGTCTTTTCTCTCCTATTTCCTTTGATTTCTGCCCGGCCATTTTTTCGCCCATCCACAAATTTATTTATGTGCTCCTCTGCTGGCGGCCACTTTTAAGGACACGACAGGACGACGCTTCTGGGCGGATTCCGGGCCCATTGCGCTGGCAATTACGCGAGCCGCGCTCCTGGAAATATTGCCAAAGTCATTGACTTTGGTCCAGGCCGTTTATGAATTATATAATACCAGCTAGAGCTGGCTGATGCACGGGAAAAATATTGGTTGCCTATTCAGCGGGTTCAGTCAGTAATCATCAGCCACAACGCTTGACGCTTTTTTAGACATTAACTAGAATTTCATTTGTGGGTCAATATTCTCAATTTAAATTCAACCTTAAACTTGAAATATTGTGAGTCAGCTTGAGATTTTTTCAAGTGTTTCCCAAGGCAACCATCTGCAAGAGGCGAACCGAAGAAAACCTCAGGCACGCCAGAATATCAATGAATATGAGTTATTCGCACGCATCCGAAAGTTTTTCACTTTACAGAACTCATGAAAAATACATTAAAGAACCTGAGGCGCAGAAAAATATGCAGAAGTCTGCTAAAATTTGCCGAGTTGTAAAAAGCGGCTGTCATTAAACATGAATTTGTGCCAAAAGCGCCACTAATGAATACGGCCATCTCACCAAAAAGAAAAACCCTCCAAATTAATGTTAGGGATAACTCTCGGCCCCGAGGATCTGTGCCAATCAATCAGCTGATAAAAAGAATTTGTTGACCAAAGGGATTTTTCCCTCGACTCTCTTTGTGCGGTGGACAGCCTAGGCATTGGCCTTTATTCGAATTATACATTTGACATATTAGTTCTGGCCGATAAGAAATTGATTTCTGCCTTTCAACGGCAACCATCTCGGCGGCTTCTTTGCCCACAGCTTTTTATAGAAAATTGCTTTATTGAGGGGGAAAGGTTGGGAATGGAGTTCACTGGGGTGGAATTTACTCCAGCCATCAATTTTGAATAATCACGATTGGCATTTGTCCTTAAAGTGTTGTTTTCATGTGGAATGGTTTGATTTGTGTTAAAGTGAAGGAATTTCTGCAATGCCCAGGTGTCCAAAAGTATTACTGTTTAATAATGGAAGACTCCCCCAATGAAATTTCTATCGCAATTATGAGAGCAATAGCCATCTAACTAAAACTAAAACGGATTGCTAAATGTGA